GGGGTAACAAGTGGTGTTCCCCAAGGGTCAGTCCTAGGACCAATCCTATTCAACTTATTCATAAATGATCTGGAGAAAGGGGTAAAAAGTGAGGTGGCAAATGTAGTAAGATGAGGTCCTGAAACATAAACTCTTGTATCAAAGGCCCAGTCTGAGGCCTGAAGCCTGAACCAAAGTACTTCCAGGCATTGCTAAGCAAAAGTTGGGCTGTGAGCCAGAGGCAGGCCCCACTCACAGAAGTTGGCGAGAAGAGGGTTGCTAGAAGCAGGTGCATCCACACATAAGTGCTAATAAGAGGAACTTGTGCCAAGATGACATCAGAACACTCCACAGAGATAACAAGGAACAGGCAGGTGCATCTTAAAGACAGGGTCAAAAGGACAGCATGATGGATAGATCTGTTTGAAACAACATGATCAAAGGAGGAGACAGCACCCTAATGAGCCAAGGGGCTGTACTTCAATATGTCAGTAGGGATGAGTAATCTGTCCTATAACTGTATAAAAATAGGTCCTGGAGTGCACATCTTTGTCTGGCCTAGGGGGCAGTGGAAAGTCCCACCACTGACTGAGCCAGTCCATTGCCAGGGGGCACAAATTCGTAGTATGTCTTGTAGAGTCTACGGGAAACTATTACTGTGCTTCGTTTGACAATAAACCTGGCTCAGGTTCCTTCGTACCTTACTAGAGTCTGTGGTCTTTGGGGATTCTCTTGGGGTTTGCTGTGTCAGCTATCTGCGCAGAGCCGGGGCAGCACACAGAGGGAACATGCATGCAGATGACTGTTATCATCACTGAACAAGAGCAGAGCACCACACCGGTAGCTACTGACAACAGCAAAGTTTGCAGATGATACTAAACTGCTCAAGATAGTTAAGACCAAAGCAGAGTGTGACGAACTTCAAAAAGATCTCACAAAACTAAGTGATTGGGCAACAAAATGGCAAATGAAATTTAATGTGGATTAAATGTAAAGTAATGCACATTGGAAGAAATAACCCCAACTATACATACAATATGATGGGGGCTAATTTAGCTACAACGAATCAGGAAAAAGATCTTGGAGTCATCATGAATAGTTCTCTGAAGACGTCCACACAGTGTGCAGCAGTGGTCAAAAAAGCAAACAAGAGGTTAGGAATCATTAAAAAGGGGATAGAAAATAAGATGGAGAATATTTTATTGCCCTTATATAAATCCATAGTATGCCCACATCTTGAATACTGTGTACAGATGTGGTCTCCTCCTCTCAAAAAAGATATACTGGCATTAGAAAAGGTTCAGAGAAGGGCAACTAAAATGATTAGGGGTTTGGAATGGGTCCCATATGAGGAGAGATTAAAGAGGCTAGAACTTTTCAGCTAAGGGGGGATATGATAGAGATATATAAAATCATGAGCGATGTAGAGAAAGTAAATAAGGAAAAGTTATTTACTTGTTCCCATAATACAAGAACAAGGGGCCACCAAATGAAATTAATGGGCAGCAGGTTTAAAACAAATAAAAGGAAGTTCTTCTTCACACAGCCAACTTGTGGAACTCCTTGCCTGAGGAGGTTGTGAAGGCTAGGACTATAACAGCATTTAAAAGCGAACTGGATAAATTCATGGAGGTTAAGTCTGTAAATGGATATTAGCCAGGATGGGTAAGGAAGGGTGTCCCTAGCCTGTTTGTCAGAGGGTGGAGATGGATGGCAGGAGAGAGATCACTTGATCATTGCCTGTTGGGTTCACTCCCTCTGGGGCTCCTGGCATTGGCCACTGTCAGTAGACAGGATATTGGGCTAGATGGACCTTTGGTCTGACCCAGTACGGCCATTCTTATGTTCTTATGTTAATATAAAGGGCAGCTGCATCGTCTCCATTTTGTCTTCAATCCTGCTTCCTATCTCTGGAACTTCTCTACAAACTGAAGCATTGAACACAGGACTGAATGACCCATCCAAGCTGTGGATGTCTTCCAGAGGGACTTTCAAGTCAGCAACCCACCAATACTGCTAAGAACCCAACACATGGACTCTAAAGTCATTGTACGTATCTGAGTGCTTTAACCATTTAACAACTCTCTTTTTGTTTCTTTTATAATAAACCTTTAGTTTTCGTTACTAAAGGACTGGCTGGCACCGTGGTATTTTGGGTAAGGTCCAACCTAATATTGACCTGGCGATGTGGCTGGCCCTTTGGGGTTCAGAAGAACATTTTGTATAGTGAGAAAAGTTTTTAAATAACTTCTCACTGTACTGGACCTAGGTGCTGATTGGGAGTCAGAGAACTGGAATGCAATAAAGGGGGCTGGGATCAGAAGCACAGTTTGTGACTGGTTGGTGGTCATTCAATGTGTAGATATTGTAATGTTGTTTTATACATATGTATAAGGGGTCGATGTGCACCATGCTGTGCAACATTGTATCTGCCATGTGGTTTGTGTAGTCTATTGCGTCACCTTACTATATAATTTCTAAATGCAATGCCACTGTACTATGTGCTATGTGTTATGTATCGCAGTGTGTTCTTTCTTAAAACTATTACATGTATGGTAACTGAATATTTCCTTTAAATAAATGTTACTCTGTTTTCGAAGAATTACTGCTTGAACATCAATACTTTGAGTGGAAGGCTGTATCCGTGTCCTCTCATGGGTTAACAGAACTAGTCTTTTTTGGGGAGTCCTGTGAGGGTCAGAGACAAAGTCCCTGGTGAAACCCAGGCAATTTCTCTAAGGCGGGCCACCTCCTGCTATGCATTGAGACGGGCCAAATTGACAAATGGTTTACCGTTATAGGCAAGCCATTATTGGGGTGCCTTGGGTCCAAATTTTGGGGTAACAACAGAGAGGTATAAGATACATCCAGTTTCATATAACTAGAAATTCCAGAGCAGGCTAAATGGGATGACTCAAAATCAGGACAAGAGATTCTTCCATTGGATCCTCCTCTGATCCATTCAAATCTGCTTCACTACTGAGCCTTATTATTTACAAAAGTTCTAGCACCATAGTAATGGAAAAAAACAAACAAAAACAAAAAAACCAGCCAACCTTCCCATCTGCAAACAATCCCATCTCAGTAGGAAAAGTCCTACAACAGGTTGGTGGTGATTGGTAAGTGAAAATGAGGTAGGATCAGAGTCTAAAATAGGGAAAGAATAAATAAAAAATTACTTAGACAAGTTAGATGTCTTCAGATCACCAGGGCCTGATGAAATGCATCCTAGAATACTCAAGGAACTGACTGGGGAGATATCTGAGCCATTAGCAATTATCTTTGAAAAGTCATGGAAGACGGGAGACATTCCAGAAGACTGGAAAAGGGCAAATCTAGTGCCCATCTATGAAAAGGAAAATAAGGACAACCCAGGGAATTACAGACCAGTCAGCTTAACTTCTGTACCTGGAAAGATAATAGAGCAGATAATTTGCAAACACCTAGAAGATAATGAGGGGATAAGTAACAGTCAGCATGGATTTGTCAAGAACAAATTGTGTCAAACCAACCTGATAGCTTTCTTTGATAGGGTAACAAGCCTTGTGGAAATGGGGGAGGCAGTAGATGTGGTATAATAATACATGGAGATATACCTATCTCATAGATCTGGAAGGGACCTTGAAAGGTCATTGAGTCCAGTTCCCTGCCTTCACTAGCAGGACCAAGTACTGATTTTGCCTGAGATCCCTAAATGGCCCCCTCAAGGACTGAACTCACAACCCTGGATTTAGCAGGCCAATGCTCAAACCACTGAGCTATCCCTCCCCCCAATTTTGACTTTAGTAAAGCTTTTGATACTGTCTCGCATGACCGTCTCATAAACAAACTAGGGAAATACAACCTCGATGGAGCTACTATAAGGTGGGTGCATAAGGTTGGAAAATCGTTCCCAGAGAGTAGTTATCAGTGGTTCACAGTCATGCTGGAAGGGCATAACGAGTGGGGTCATGCAGGGATCGGTTCAATATCTTCATCAATGATTTAGATAATGGCATACAGAGTACACTTATAAAGTTTGCAGACAATACCAAGCTGGGAGGGGTTGCAAGTGCTTTGGAGGATAGGATTATAATTCAAAATTAACTGGAGAAACTGGAGAAATGGTCTGAAGTAAACAGGATGAAATTCAATAAGGACACATGCAAAGTACTCCACTTAGGAAGGAACAATCTGTTGCACACATACAAAATGGGAAATGACTGCCAAGGAAGGAGTACTGCGGAAAGGGACCTGGGGGTCATTGTGAATCACAAGCTGAAGGGAACTGGATAAATTCATGGAGGTTAAGTCCATTAATGGCTATTAGCCAGGACGGATAAGGAATGCTGTTCCTAGCCTCTGTTTGTCAGAGGGTGGAGATGGATGGCAGGAGAGAGATCACTTGATCATTACCTGTTAGGTTCACTCCCTCTGGGGCACCTGGCATTGGCCACTGTCGGTAGACAGGATACTGGGCTAGATGGACCTTTGGTCTGACCCAGTATGGCCGTCCTTATGTAAGCTAAATATGTGTCAACAGTGTAACACTGTTGCAAAAAAAGCAAACATCATTCTGGGATGTAGTAGCAGGAGTGTTGTTAGCAAGACATGAGAAGTAATTCTTCTGCTCTACTCCGCGCTGATTAGGCCTCAACTGGAGTATTGTGTCCAGTTCTGGGTGCCACATTTCAGGAAAGATGTGGACAAATTGGAGAAAGTCCAGAGAAGACCAACACAAATTATTAAAAGTCTAGAAAACATGACCTATGAGGGAAGATTGAAAAAAATGGGTTTGTTTAGTCTGGAGAAGAGAAGACCAAGAGGGGACATGATAACAGTTTTCAAATACATAAAAGGTTGTTACAAGGAGGAGGAAGAAAAATTGTTCTTCTTAACCTCTGAGGATAGGACAAGAAACAATGGGCTTAAATTGCAGTAAGGGCGGTTTAGGTTGGATATTAGGAAAAACTTCCTGTCAGAGTGGTTAAGAACTGGAATAAATTGCCTAGGGAGGTTGTGGAATCTCCATCATTGAGGATTTTTAAGAGCAGGTTGGACAAACACCAGGGATGGTCTAGATAATACTTAGTCCTGCCTTGAGTGCAGGGGTCTGGACTAGATGATCTCTCGAGATCCCTTCCAGTTCTATGATTCTAAGAGGCTTTTCCAACAGTTGGAAACTGGGATTTAAACTCCAAATTATCTCACTGAGTTTGAGATCCATTAAAATTCCCCTTCCAGGTCTGTGACACTTTCATCTCAGGCCCTAAATTACTGTTTTGGGATCAAAGAAAACAAAGTGTGATCCCCAAGCAGAGGGCTGAGAACCCTGAATCATATGATACATTAAGTAGCAGAGGTGTAGAAGATAAATTATACATGGCTCTAACAAAGGAAATGTTGCTGGGCTAATTCAGAAGGTCGGACTCCCTCTAACTCACCACTTCTTCAGGTATCACAGAGGTTGAAAAAACACTTTTCCCCCTCATTCCTGATCGTCTTTGTTATATTTAAATATATTTAAAATGAGAAAAATGGAAAAAAACCCAACTGCTTTTCAGCACAAACCAGTGTAATGTGAGAACAACTGGGAATGAGACAATTTGTCCCTAGTGGGGAACCTGGTGACTAACAATTGCTTTGAAGTGGGAGGAAAAATATAAACATGATGTTCTTAATTTGGTTAGACTAGGAGCAGTGATGGAGGTTGTGTCAGATGGTGAGGAAATTTGCTACATTACCCTGACTGCTGTACATGGGCTATTTTCTTTACTGAAAAAATAGTTGTGGTTTTACATCAGGATCACTAACTTAATCTAGCTAACTCCATGGAAAACCTAGTGGAGTCAAGGCGCAGATAGATTTAACCTCCACGTACCTGGTAGAGGTCACTCCTGGTTCCCCCACCTGGGGCTGATGGACATTCATGTTGGAGGGACACACACTTCCATGACACAGGACAAAGGAGTTGATGAAAAATACTGTGGGATTCACCAGGGCCAGATTTCCAATTAGGCACAGTAGGAGTATGCCTAGGGGCACCAGCATTTTAGGGGTGCCTTACCTCTCTAAAACTGTGTGCAACATGAAGGTCAACTGCAGGCAGGGTGGGTGCTGAAGATGCTGAGCCTAGGAGTGCGTAAGGTGTAAATCCAGCCCTGGAATTCACTCCAAGAAAGGGTGAGCTGCAAAAGGGAAAAGCAGACAACTCAGCTGGAGGAGCTGAGATACCACGATGTCACAAATGCTGCCTTAAAACTCACTATGTGGGAATTAGCAAAAGGAAAACAAAAATCTTTCCTCAGCCATAGACAAGGATTTTAAGGTGTTTATCTCCCTTGCAGCTTTTCTGATGATAAAAAAGGGCTGAGTTCTGACATAAGAATTTCCCACACTGTATGGATGCTCTGATGTGTAATAAGGTTCAAGCTCCGAGCAAAGGTTTTCCTGCACTCACAGCATCCATACGGTCACTCTTGAGTGTGGCTTCTCCGATGTCTACTAAGGTGTGAGTTCCGAGCGAAGGTTTTCCCGCACTCACAGCATTCATAGGGTTTCTCCCCTGTGTGGATCCTCCTGTGTGTAATAAGGTTTGAGCTCCAAGCAAAGGTTTTCCCACACTCACAGCATTCATAGGGTTTCTCCCCTGTGTGGATCCTCTGATGTTCAGTAAGGGTTGAGCACTGAGGGAAGGTTTTCCCACACTCACAGCATTCATAGGGTTTCTCCCCTGTGTGGATTCTCTGATGTCTTATAAGGTCTGCAGACAGAGTGAAGGTTTTCCCGCACTCACAGCATTCATATGGTTTCTCCCCTCTGTGGATCCTCTGATGTGTAACAAGGGTGGAGCGCCAAGCAAAGGTTTTCCCACACTCACAGCATTCATAGGGTTTCTCCCCTGTATGGATCCTCTGATGTTCAATAAGGGTTGAGGGCTTAGTGAAGGTTTTCTGGCACTCACAGCATTCATAGGGTTTCTCCCCTGTGTGGATTCTCTGATGTTTAATAAGGGTTGAGCTATTAGTGAAGGTTTTCCCACATTCACAGCAGGGTTTCTCCTGTGTGTGGATCCTCTGATGTCTAGTAAGGTTTGAGTTCCAAGCAAAGGTTTTCCCACACTCACAGCATACATAGGGTTTCTCCCCTGAGTGGCTCCTCTGATGTGTAATAAGGTTTGAGCTTTGGGCAAAGGTTTTCTCGCACTGACAGCATTTATAAGGTTTCTCCCCGGTGTGGATTCTTTGATGGTTAATAAAGACAGAGCTCCGAGTGAAGGTTTTCCCACACTCACAGCATTTGTATGGTTTCTCCCCTCTGTGGCTCCTCTGATGTTTAATAAAGTGTGAACTTTGAGTGAAGGTTTTCCCGCACTCACAACATTCATAGGAGCTCTCTCCTGCATGGAGTCTCAGATGTCTAATAAGGCTTGAGCGCCTACTGAGCTTTTTCCCACACTCAACACATGTGTTATTTCTCTCTCCCATCACCATTTTCTGCTGGGCCGTGGTTTCCTTGAGGCCTTTGTGAGTTCCCTGATAATTAACAGATTTACCAACTTTCTGCCTTGGCTGGTTTCCCTGCCACTTCTCTGGCATGTACTGACTCTCACGGACTTTTCCCTGCTCACAGCTCCTGGACACACTCCCCTTGCATCTTTGCAATAACACCCCATGTGATTCCCCTTGCTCATCATCTTCCTGCTGAGGATTCTGCTCCATGGTCTCACTCACCATCCCATTACCTGCTGGGACAGAGAAAGAAAAACTACAGAAACAGGAATGGAAAAGGGGAGAACAAACCAAGAGAACAGCTGGAGAAGGGAAAAAAATTAGGGACTGAATTTCCCCAAACTCTTCCCCAAAGGGGCGAGAGGAGGTGATCAATCCTGCATCCAGATCTGATCCAAACACTTAGGGGGAAGAGAGCTACTGCCAGGAGTTAGGATGGGTAGGAAGCCATGAAAAGTATCTGCCCTAAGGATATGACACCTACTGGGGGCAATCTTGAACTCAGAGAGCTCACAAGGTCTTTGTTGGTAATCCCAGCAGTTTCCTTCAGGCAATGACAGATTCTGAGTTGGTTTAATGATCCCTCACCTGTGCAGCTGCCTCTCAGGATCTCACTTTCCTCTGAGCCCTGGAGATCTGGAGCCCACAGCTCTTCCCCTCGTTCCAGCTGGGAGATGACATCAGGTTTGGAGACTAGAAACCCTGCTCAGGGGAAAGAAGACCAGTGAGATCAGGTGAATTTATGGGACATTTGTCACACACAAAAAAAGTTCTTTTAACTCCAGCCCATTTTAAAGCAGTAGAATCCTGGGGCCAGCTCTCCAGGTGCTCAAAGGTGCAGGACCCTCTTCTCATGAGGGATTTAACTGTGCCCATGTCTACTAGGAACACACACAGCCAGACACTGATGATCAAAGGGGCTCCTAAAACCCAGAGCAGGCAATTCTATGTCCCAGCAAGTGAAGACTCCAGCCAGAGGGGAAGTCCACCTGGAACTGCTTCTTACTGACAGAGAGAGGGCCAGAGACACTGCAGGAGAGGGAAAGGCATGAGGCCTGACAGTTGAAGGAGGACACTCAGAGATGAGGAACGGCACAGAAAGGCAGCTAGCCCTGATAATCACTATGACCCCCACAATCCTTCCTCTAACTGCTCTCATCCTTCCCCACCTCCTGGGACCTGAGGAGCAACCACTCCTTGTGTTCTCTCCTTTCCTCCCATTGCCCACAGCCCTCCTCACTACCATCCTCCCAAATTCTCTGATATAGTACCTAGCTATAAAAAGGGAATAAGGACAGCCCAGGGAATTATAGACCAGTCAGTTTAATTTTGGTAACCGGAAAGAAAATGGACCAAATAATTAAACAATCAGTTTCTAAGCATCTTGAAGAAAATAAGGTGAGAAGTAACTGTCAACATGGATTTGTCAAAAAGAAATCACATCAAAACAACCTAATATCCTTCTTTGACACAGTAACAAGTAGAGCCCTGCGTAGATACAAAAAGGTGTATCCGCATCTGATCCTGCGGATCGGATATCCACAAATACCCGCGGATTTGCAGGGCTCTAGAAACAAGTCTTTTGGATGTGGGGGAACAGTAGATAGTAGATGTGATATAACTTGACTTCTGATACTGTCTCACATGACCTTCTCTTAAGCAAACTAGGGAAATATAGACTAGACGAACCTACAATAAGAAGGGTGCACAACTGGTTGGAAAACCATAGTCAGAGAGTAGATGTCAATGGTTCACAACCAAGGTGGAAGGGCATATCGAGTGGGGTCCCTCAGATCTCTCCTGGCTCCAGTTCTATTCAGCCGTTTTAATCCAGCCCTTGAGCTCCTGCTTCGGCGCTCCCACTGGGAAGCTGGGTCGGGGGCCGCTCCACACAACTCCCAGAAGCAGCAGCATGGCCCCCTCCAGCGCTCTAGCCAGGGAGCAGGGTCTGTGATGGGTTGTGTCACAGAAACTCCCTCAAGACTGTCAGTAGATGTGCTGGGAAACCACTGAGAGCAAACCCCCCTGCCAGAGAAGGCTTCCCTCCACCCCCATCTTGCTGAGTTAGACACTCCAGTCAGCTACAGCACAGACCAAGAGGTTGGGCCACACCCCCCTGCAGTGCACAGAAACTAAGATTCACTTAGCCCAGGGGTTTCTCAGTTAACAGGGAGTTTCCCAGCACCCAGTATTCAGTCTTTCTGAGAGCCTAAACCCCAAATGAATCCATTTTACTCTATATAAAGCTTATACAGGGTAAACTCATAAATTGTCCGCTCTCTATAACACTGATAGAGACATATGCACAGCTATTTGCCCCGCCCCCCCAGGTGTTAATTACTTACTCTGGGTTAACTAATAAGCAACAGTGATTTTATTAAATATACAGAGTAGGATTTAAGTAGTTCCAAGTAATAACAGACAGAACAAAGTAAGTTACCAAGCAAAATAAAACAAAACACGCAAATCTAAGCCTAATACCATAGAAAACTGAATACAGGTAAATCTCACCCTCAGAGATGTCCCAATAAACTTCTCTCACAGACTAGTTTCCTTCCTAGTCTGGGCCCAATCCTTTTCAGACCAACACTGTAGTTTATGGCAAGAAGTCATTCTTTCACACTACTCAGCACTGATAAGGCCTCAACTGGAAAATTGCATCATGTTCTGGGCACCAAACTCTGGGAAAGATGTGGACATATTGGAGAATGTCCAGAGAAGAGCAAATTTATTAATTATTATTATTAAAGGTCCAGAAAACATGACCACCGAGGAAAGATAGAGAAAATTTGTTTCTCAATCAGATTTGTTTAGTCTGGAAAAGAGAAAACTGAGGGGGGACGTAAGTCAGCAAGTACATAAAAGGTTGTTAGACAGAGGAGGGTGCTAAATTGTTATCTTTATCCACTCAGAAAAGCACAAGAAGTAATGGGCTTGAATTGCAGCAAAAAGAGATTTAGGTTAGACATTAGTAAAAAGTTTCAAACTGTCAGGGTAGTTAAGCACTGGAACAAATTACCTAGGATGGTTGTGGAATCTCCATCACTGGAGGTTTTTAAGAACAGGTTGGAAAAACACCACTAGGAGGTGATCTAGATAATATTTAGTACTTACTTAGGGCTGTGAAATGGTTTTATAGGGTCTTAGATGACTCTAGCCTTTATACAGGCTCTCCTGGCTCTGCCCCCTTTAGTGTATGTCTACACTAAACCAGGGAGCGAGCCTTTCAGCCAGTGATGCTCATGCTAGCACATTAACAATAGCTGTGTAGATATTGCAACACAGGCCTGAGCTCAGGCTCCCAAGCCCACCCCGGCTTGCGAGACCGAGCTCCAGCCCAATCTGCAACATCTACACAGTTATATATAGCCCTCCAGCACAAGTCTGGGGACCCAGGCTGGGAGGATCTCTCCCAAAGGCAATGTAGACATACCCATATTGTGCTATTTCCTAGGCTTTGCTTTTTGCAAGCGTGATCCCCACGCTCCACCACTCTTGAGACAGGACGTTCTGGAGGTAACACCCCTTTGTGTCATGATGGCACTTCAGTGAGTCCCAATGATTTCAGACCCCTCATAAACACCATCTCTTTTGGGGTGCTGCAGCCAGTAGGTATTTGCAGCAACACAATAGAGCCTTTTCAGAACAAAACCGCACTGCTTAGGCAACTGGAACACAGGATTTACAGATCCCTTGGTCACTCTGGGAATGCAAAACTGAACTCTACATTCATTTTGGCAGAGTAATCTGCCTGGCTTTTCCAAAGCCTTCTCAATTTCATCTCTCTCTCTCTCTGTCTCCTAGTCTCAGTCCTTTTGCCCTGGATAGTAGCTCATTTCAGTGCTGAGTGTTGTAGGTAGCGTCAATAAAGGTGCACAAGGGTGTGTTCTTGCCACGAGGGTTGTCAGCTGTTTGGTGACATACATGCTAGTGGTCTCCAGGCCTCAGTGAGGGGTAAGTGAAGGCAGTGACTCAGAAGGAATCCTCACTGCAAAGGTAAAGGGGTGGTGACATTATGGAAGTCAGAGATGGACTGTGTGCAGTAGGCTCAGTGTTAGAGTGCAGGCCAGGGATAGGTAGCTTCTGTTCCCAAAGTGTTCTGTAGTGGGGAGAGTAGAGTGCTAGTCTATGTGTCATTGGCCTGTTGGGACGTTGCTGAAACAGGGCAGAGTTGAGGATGCATTGTGGGGTGTTGTGAACCTTAACTCTTCATTTCCCCTTCTAATAACCGAGGGGACAGGAATCCTTACCCAACAAGATCACATTCTCATAGTTCTCCTGCATGATGTCTCTGTAGAGGGCTCTCTGAGCGGGGTCCAGCAGAGCCCATTCTTCCTTGGTGAAATACACAGCCACCTCCTCGAAGGTCACCGGCCCCTGAAAGAAGAAGAGCCCCCCACTCAGTACCTGCTGCCCACTGACAACCCCATTGTTCACAGAGGAGGAGGGCGAATCACATGGAAGGTCTTGGAGGCAGGCAGGCAGCAGAGTCCCACCCCCACCCCATCAGAGCAGCCAGGAAGCATCAAGGTGAGGGGAAAAAGAGAGAGAGAGCCCCTCACCCATTCTAGCAGTAGAGATGGAAGGGGTCTTCACATTCATCACTCACCTACTAGCCAGAGGCTGTTTCAGGAGATGGAGCCCCCAGCAGGGCCCAGAGACAACTCCCGGGTGTCAATCCCAACACCCACCCCATTGCCAGCAGCTGGATGGGAGGGGATGGGAAGTCTTCTCTAGGCTTCACTGGTGGGTGCCCCTTCATATCTTATAGCATCCTCTAGCTAGTAGGTTCAGGCTCCAGCACTTGGGATTTTCCCCAGCCCAGTCCAGGGGGCTATTTCCTGTTCCACAAGTTAGGGAACTTCCACAAACCCCCTGGGTTACTAGGATCCAGGCCCTACAGTAAACAAATCCCAGCAGGTTTGTCACACCCTGTCCCCCTCCCCTTCTCCACACTCTGTATTTCCTGCCCCCTTCTCCCTCCAGACCATCACCCCTTCCAGAAGTGCCCACCTCCTATGTATTTACTGCCCTTCTCCCGCCAACAGAAACCCACCAGCAACTACCTGATAATCCCTACCTGCACTGGCTCCACGGCAGCCATTTCCTTTCCCTGTCCTCCAGAAGGATGGAACGTTACACTGCAGCCTGTCAGGGCAACTGGGGACATGTCAGAACAGTAACATCACATCACAATTCTCCCCAGCTTTTTCCCTGCAGACCGATGTTCTAGATTCTGTCACGCAAATAACACAATTAGTAATAACACAATACAATTCAGAACACAATTAGTGATGGCAGGGGGGACTTTAACTACCCAGACACCTGTTAGAAAAGGAATTCAACCAAACACAAAGTGTCCAATGAGTTCTTGGAATATGTTGGGGACACCTGTTTGCTTCAGAAGATGGAAGCAGTAACCAGGAGGACAGGCATTTTAGGGTTGATTCTGACTAACAGGCAGGAGTTAGCTAGGAAACTGAAGGTAGAAATCAATATGGGCGAAAGTGTTCATGAAATGATGATTTCATGATTCTAAGAGAAGGAAGGCGTTCGAGTAGGAAAATAAGGACAATGGATTAAATTCAAAATGATCTGGACAAACTGGAGAAATGGTCTGAAGTAAATAGGATGAAATTCAATAAGGACAAATGCAAAGTCCTCCACTTAGGAAGGAACAATCTGTTGCACACATACAAAATGGGAAATGACTGCCTAGGACGGAGTACTGCGGAAAGGGATCTGGGGGTCAGAGTGTTTATATTGTTCCAGCAGATTTTTTTTAAACAAATAGGTCCACTGTGGCTTTTCCAAATTACTGCAATTAATATAGATCCATTATTTCTTCTCCACAATTTTTCAAGTCTTCTCCGCAACTCAGCTGCAATTATTTGAAGATCATCCTGCAATTCAGGTAGGGTCTTAATTAATATTAACCAAGAGGAGGAAGAAACAGAAACCACAATAGGGAAATAACAGGTTAAAAAAATATTTAGATAAATTAGATGTATTAAAGTCAGTGAGACCTGATGAAATTCATCTTAGGGTACTCAAGGTATTAGCTGAAGCAATCTCGGAACCATTCACAAATATCTTTGAGAACTCCTGAAAGACAGTGAGGTCCCAGAAGACTGGAGAAGGGCAGACATAGTCCCTATCTTTAAAAAGGGAAACAAAGATGACTAGGGAATAAATACCAGTCAAACCTCACGAAGGTATCTGGAATGAACAAATTATTAAACAATTAATTTCTAAGCACCTAGACTCAGAGGATAGTAAGATAAATTATAGCCTAGCATGGATTTTTAAAAACAAATCATGCCAAGTCAAACTAATTTCCTGCTTTCACAGGGTACTGGTCTTATGGATCCGGGGGGCATTGTAGACAGGACATATCTTGATTTTAGTCAGGCTTTTGAGGCAGGCCTCCATGATATTCTCATAGCGAACTAGGGAAATGTGGTGTACATGAAAGTACTATAAAATGGGTGCAAATTTTGTTGAAAAGGCGGTCTACAGGGGCCAGTTCTGGATCTGATACTGTTCAATATTTTCATTTATTTCTTGGATAACAGACTGGAGATCATGCTTTCTAAATATGCAGATAACACAAGCTGTGGGGGGTTGCAAGCATGTTGGAGGACAGGATTAGAATTCAATAGAACATTTACAGACTGGAGAAGTGGGCTGAATGAAAAGATTAAATTCAATAAAGACAAGTGCAAAGTACTAGACTTAGGGAAGGAAAACCAAATGCACAACTAAAAAGTGGGGAATAACTGGCTAGGGGGTAGTACTACTGAAAGTGATCGGGGGTTATAGTGAATCACAAATTGAAGCTGAGTCAATTATGTGATTCAATTGTGAAAAAACAAAATTAAGCACTGGACCAGATTAGCAAGAGAGGTGGTGGAATTCCCATCATCAGTGGTTTTTAAGAACAGGTTGGCCAAACACCTCAGTGCTGGGGGGCTGGACTAGAGGACCTCTCAAGGTCCATTCCAGCCCTACATTTCCATGATTCTATGCTGGGGAAATGTTTGGTCACTGACCCAGCCCCTCCCACCAGGATTAAACCATTGAGTCATTTTGAAACCCTCCCAGTAACAAAGTCTAGGAACCAAATGGGAAAGAAGAGCAGAAGGAGTGTGTGACGGTGCATATATATAACATAACTAGAATGTGTTTTATGCTACATATATCAGGTAACACATCTCTGTAAAGGTCATAATCTACTGAATCTATTAATCCTATATGTATGCATGTATCATGTTTGTATTCAAAGTTATGAATATTGGTTGCATATTTGTTTGATTCTAAGGAGGCTGTAGTGAAGCAGTCGGTCAGCTTCCTGAGAAAAGACTATTCTCACTAAGTGCTCCATCAAGAAACACTTAAGCCAACAATGAACTTGGAGACACCAATCCACATCTGGACTTCCCCAGGAATGTGGCTTGGCTGGTAAGGAATTCAGTCATGCATGGACATGTGACTTGCCCAGGTGACTCCAAAACTCCATTTTGTAGCTGGACTTTGCATAGGAGAGAGGAGGGGGTCTCCACCTACAAGAGAAAGTCTATTTAAGCCCAGGGGAGACCCCTCCATTTGTCTTCAGCTGGCTAAAGAGAGAGCCTCTCCACCCCCAAAGATACCAGAAAGAAACTGGAACAAAGGACAGTGACTGCAAGGGGTGTGAGTGATTGCTGGACTCAGACTAAAAGGAGATTAGTCTGTAAAAGAAAGCATTCTGGAACTGGTGAGGATCTTATCTGTATTCAGTTTCTTACTGTATTAGACATAGACTGGAGTGTTTTATTTTATTTTGTTTTACTTAGTAATTCACTTTGTTCTGTCTGTTACTACTTGCAATCACTTAAATTCTACTTTCTGTATTTAATAAAATCACTTTTTACTTATTAATTAACCCAGAGTATGTATTAACACCCAGGGGGAGCAAACAGCTGTGCATCTCTCTCTATCAGTGTTATAGAGGCCGAACAATTTATGAGTTTACTCTGTATAACCTTTATACAGGGTAAAACAGATTTATTTGGGTTTAGACCCCATTGGGAGTTGGGCATCTGAGTGTTAAAGAGAAGAACACTTCTGTAAGCTGCTTTCAGTTAAGTCTGCAGCTTTGGGGCAAGTAATTCAGACCCTGGGTCTGTGCTGGAGCAGACGGGTGTGTCTGGCTCAACAAGACAGGGTGCTGGAGTCCTAAGCTGACAGGGCAGGAAAGCAGGGGCACAAGTAGTCTTGGCACATCAAGTGGCAGCTCCCAAGCAGGGTTCTGTGATCTAACCCATCACAGAGTGACTTGGGGATGATGTCAGGGGAAATCTCCCAAGGGCAGCACATCTCACCACAGGGGGAACAGGGAGAGTCAGGAACTGGCTTTTCCTCTTCCTGCACCTTGCTCCCAGGAAAGAATCTGCCCAGGAATGTTGCAATAAGTGTGTTTGGGCAAGCTAGAGATCTGGGAATCTCTCCCCCCAATTATTTCTCCCACTGCCCCTTTAGGTCTCATTCTCCTTGCGTCTCCCTTCCCCTTCCCTTTCCTTCTGACAATCAGACATTCCTGGGTGTTCGCTTTCCTATGGCTGGATCAGTTCCTGCAATTGCTAAGGGGAGGAGAGACATGGGGTGAGGAGGGGCTGTTGTCGCAGAGTCACTTTCATGCCCATCCCCAGCACATTCCCTGAGGTTTTAATCAATCACCTGGAGTCTCTGGCTCAGATGTTGGTGTGGGCACAGCCTAGGGTTGACCTATGGGTAGGGCCCTACCAAATTGACAGACATGATAAACATGTCACAGACCATGAAAGCTGGTCTCTCCCCGTGAAATCTGTATGGTATAGCGTAAAAGCGCACAAAAGACCAGATTTCACAGGGGAGACCAGTGTTTCCCAAATTGGGGGTCCTGACCAAAAAGGGAGTTGCAAGGTTATTTTAGAGGGGTTGCGGTATTGCCATCCTTACTTCTGGCTGGAAAGTAACAGATGTTGGCCAGGCACCCAGCTCTGAAGGCAGTGCCCCGCTAGCAGCAGCACAGAAGTACGAGTGGCAATACCATACCATGCCATCCTTACTTCTGCTGGCAATAGCTCTGCCTACACAGCTGGGCTTTCGGCCAGTAGCTGCTGCTCTCCAACTGCCCAGCTCTGAAGGCAGCTCTGCCATCAGCAGCAGTGCAGAAATAAGGGTAGCAATACCGCAACCCCCCCCCCGCCCCAATAACCTTGTGCCCCCTGTAAGAGGTCAGACTCATCCCTGCAGCGCCTCCTGCTGGTTACTCCAGGGAATCAGCTCAATCCAGCCCGGAGCGCCCTCTGCAGGCCGGTGATCCGCCTTGTCACTACTGGCTCCCCTGTCCCTCCCAGGACCCCAGTGCCCCTTGCTCTGGGTGCTTCCCTCTGGCAGTACCCCCCACACCCTGGGTCTCTCCTCCCAGGGGAACTCCCACCCACTAATCCCACCTCACCTCAGTGTAAGGCTACTGCCAGTCATCGTCTAGCCCCACGCCTGAGGCAGACTGCAGTATCAGCCTACTCATCACTGGCAAGGAGGGTTTGGACCTGCTGCCTTGGCCTACCTCTGGGCTGCCTTCTGCAACCCCCAATACCCCTTAGCCCATTGCTAGGCCACAGCCTGGGGCTTTCCAGGCTGGAGCTCCCCAGCTCCTCAGCCTTTCCCCAGCCCTGCTCCACACAGGTACTCTGTCTTAGCTCCCTGCAGCCAGACCCTTCTCCCTCTGAAAGCAGAGAGAGACTCTATCTGAGCTCCTAGCTCCCTGCCTTTATAGGGCCAGCTGAGTCTGCCTGGGGCGTGGCCCCAGCTGCAGCCACTTCCCCCGAATCAGCTCAGCCTTCCCTGCCCCAGCCTTCTCCCAGGGCTGTTCCAAACCCCTCAGGGCAGGAGCGGGTGTCCACCCCGCTACCTCCCCCCACAACTTCTTTTTTGGTCAGGACCCCTACAATTACAACACTGAAATTTCAGATTTAAATAGCTGAAATCATTAAATTTACAATTTTTAAAATCCTTGGACCGTGAATTTGGTAGGTACCTACCTATGAGACTAACTGCAGCTGGAGAAAGTTCTCACCTTGGCTGGGCACAGAAGAAGCTTTACTCATAGTCACTCCCCAGCTCAGCTCAACCACCAGGGAACAGGAGCTGCTCAGCCTAGGCTCCCAGATCACAATGGAGGCAGCAGCATCTGACTCAGGAAGCTCAACCCTAATATCCTGAGCAGAGAAAGAGACAGAGAGAAACGAAGTATCTTTCCCCCCTTTAGCAACAACTGAAATCCCCTCCCCACAGGGACAGATCTTATTCGCCCCCATGTTAATTTGGAGTCACTCCTTGTTCTTCCTTACAACGAGTCTGGATTAACACTCATCTCAGTGAGACCAGAAACATGGCTCAGGAGTGATGAGGCCAGAATCCTTTTAAACAGATCATTACAGAAGGTGGTTATAACCTCCTTCCATTCTCCCTCACTCCCCATATTCTGAGAGGGATTCACAGCAACAGTTTTTCTTCCAAAACCTGCGGTTGCTGCACTTTTGAAAGTGGGGAGGGAAGCAAAATCTGTGGTGGTTTCATATCAACATTTGATAACTTTCTATCCATTTATCAGGAGCCCTTGCCAGCCATTCACAAAGGTGTTGGTAGCCCTGGATGATGCTTCTTTAACAGGAGAACAGACAGCATGAAGGAGCCAAAATTTTTAAGACATTTCCAGGCCCTGTGACTGGAAAATAATGGCTACCATCAGGGGTGGCTCTATGTTTTTTGCCGCCCCAAGCACGGCAGTCAGGCGGCCTTCAGCAGCATGCCTGCAGACGGTCCGCGGTCACGCGGCGTTTCTGCGGGTGATTTCCAGGTCACGCAGCTTCGGTGTACTCGCCGCCAAAACCACGAGACCGGCGGACCTCCCGCAGGCATGCCATCAAAGGCCGCCTGACTGCTGCCCTCACAGCGACCGGCAGACCCCCCTCGCAGCTTGCCGCCCCAGGAACGCGCTTGCTGCGCTGGTGCCTGGAGCCGCCCCTGGCTACCATAGACCCACCCCGAGCAGTGCTACAGGAAGCAACCCCTCATGGAGACCATTCATCAGGGGTGGGGGTTTTTTGGAGATACCGTACTACTGGTGACTGTGGTGAGGGGTTAACACAGTAGCATGGAGATTCTCAGCTACTCTGGGCACTACCTGGGGCAGCAAGGAGTCCATCACAGAGTGAACCCCTCATCCTGTGCCCTCTATGGAAAAGAAAAGGGTTCAGCCAACTGTCCTGTGAGCAGCTGGGAGACACCATTCTCCCAAACAGGGGGAGGCCTCTGGCTTTGATGTGTATTAAATAAAGGGCACGTCACTTTCATCAGCCAACATTTTAATGGAGATAAAGGGGGAAAGAAATGAGTCTCAAACAAGAGGGGAAAGTTGATTATTTAGCCCCATGCAACTGCCAGGATAGAGAATGGCTCAAGGCAACAAATTCCCTCTAGAAATGGAGAAGTTGCCACAACTCAACATGGGGAATACCACAACACTTTTTAACAGATATTTGATAGTTACACGGGGAAAAGGGGAAAATCTGACACAGTTGCAATTGCTGTTCGGTCATTACAGAGAGAAGGGTGGAAATGTGAAGAATTTCGGATGAGTTTTCACAAGCGAGAGAGGGAAGTGGGACAATGTGAGGGTTGAGGGGTTTTCTATCAGTAGGGTCCCTAGCCGGTAAAAAAGAGGTGAAACCTGAGTGACTGTCACAGCATTATTAGATGGAGAGAAAAGGGGCAAAACGCCCGCCAGGATTTTCTCTCCATTGTGCAGGATAAATAAAAATAATATATGGAGATATACCTATCTCCTAGAGCTGGAAGGGACCCTGAAAGGTCATCGAGTCCAGCCCCCTGCCTTCACTAGCAGGACCAAGTACTGATTTTGCCCCAGATCCCTAAGTGGCCCCATCAAGGACTGAACTCACAACTGTGGGTTTAGCAGGCCAACGTGCAAACTGAGCTCTCCCTCCCCCGAGGATATGAGCCCAGGCAGAAACTGGAGGGGATTGTCGGTTATTGTGGGATCACTAGAGGGACTAGTCTCGGAGAACATTTCACATCGGGGCCGCTCACTACAGAGGAGGCAGTGGTCAACATGTTAGACCCTTGCAGGCTCCTTGCCTGGAGCCAAGCTCAGGGTCCCCCACACCTCAGGCATAGGTCACCTCCCAACCCCGCCACCAGGCGGGGAGACGAGCGGCCGCAATCAGGGAGCGGGCCCGGCGCACTGATGCGCAGCTACCCCTCCGCCAATAGAAGGCCTAACGCGACCCGGAGAGAACTACGTTTCCCAGCGTGCTCCCGGGGAGAAGGCAGGGCAGATGAGCCACTTCCGCTTCCTGCGCCAGGGGACAACGTCACTTCCCGTCAGATGAGCATCAGGGACTACATCTCCCAGCCTGCCCCGAGGGTGCTTCCGTCCTCTCAGGCCAGCCTTGGGGTCAACCTGACCCCCCCCCATCAAACTGTCATCCGATTCCCCACCCACCCGTCTCGTAGAACTCATCCCCCCACCAGTCTCTGTACCTGGGTCCGCCTGAGACGGTGTCTATGCCGCAGCCGCGGGAACGCCTCGCTGCCGAACCCGTAGGCAGGTTCAGCTTCGCTGACTCAGCCTGCACCGTGCCTTGCGTCAGCGGCTTGGCGGGGACTGAGCATGGGCGCACCGACCGACGGCGCATGCTCAGTGGCATCTGCTGAAGCTGCTGCCCTCACTCTGCCCTGACTTGGCATTAAACGCTGCTGTTCAGGAGGTGGGCAGAGGGCGGAAACTGACTGTGCAGGGGTGTTAAGCAGCAGGCACTACATCTTCCAGCTTACACAGAGCTCCTCCTGAGGTCTGGGAAAGGTACTCAGAGCGTCACAGCTAAATACAGGGTGGAGTCCTGCCCAGAAGACCAGACATTCCAGTCCTGCTGGGCTGCACTGTGCAGCACTCTTCGCCCACACCACATAGTGACAGCTCTATTATCAGCACTTTTAGAAAGTGTCAGCCCCGCACACGGGAGTCACGCCTGTAAATAACTAGAGAGGATGGCAGCGCTCCTTCCCCGCATTCTTCTTTCCTCTGCCCAGGCAGCAGGAATTGCTTGATCCGACCTTCTCCTTGGCTGCCGAGCATGTGCACTTACTGGACAAGGCCCTTACAGCTCCACCCATCAGCTCTTTTAGAAAATGCCCCCTAGTGGCAGTCTGGTTGGCCAGAGGTATTGGCTATTGCCAGCCCACACCAGTGGGCCACTCTCCATAAACCAATACAGCAGCTGCAGCTTTCCTCAATCAGCCCCACAGAGCCCCCAGCCTATGCTCTTCTCCGGCAACCTAACTGGGACCTCCTCTGTCACTGCAACCAACTCATTTCTTTTGCATTACTCTTTGACATCTGATGTAGCCCACCATCAGAGACCAGTGGCTCAGCCACAACACCACCTAGAACAATGTACAATCTTTCCTCCCTCATTCATTCAACCCCTTACCCCACCTCAGGCAACATCTTTTCTCCTCAGGCTGACCACACCTCCAGTCAGTGCCAGGCTCTGCCCAGGCAGGCTCCCAACAGGTTACACTAAAAAATGTGGGCCCCAACCTCAAAACCTACTCAAATTTTACCCCCTAAACTGCCAGCTTTTAATATGCAAATAAGGTACTGTCACGCTCAGTCAACTCCCCTTGCTCTCCAGATGAGCTAGTATGTCACTCAGTAAACTCCCCTTGCTCCCCAGCAGGTGGCAGACAGCTCGTGCACTTACCTCCTTTCTTGCACCAGCTTCAGGCCACAGGGCTTGCAAACACATCAACTATGTTGGATTCTAGCAGACAAATATCAGTTATCCACTTGGGTTAGGAATCGAGGAATGTGGTGCTGCCCTGGAGGTACATATTTGTATACTTGGGATATTATTGCAAAGATAAAATTAGAATTTCTGTTAGACAATTCTAGGGGTAAAAGCGTCTTGGTAAAAATGTTATTTATTGAAAGAAGTGCTGTACTGACAGCATGGTTATTGTGGATACAAAACACTTTTCCTAGTGGGTGAAACAAGAAGCTAGAATTAGAAGATTACATATTTTGTTTGGATGTTGGTACAGATTTAATTTAGCTTATGTGTAGGTTTGTTTAAGGCTGACTGATTTGGCTACTTTAGAAAAGTGTATTAAATTTGAAAACTCATTTCATGAGTCTCCCAATTTAAAATAGAGATTTCACAGAAGTAGCAAACTGTGACAAGGCATACATTTGTCACAAAGCAGATACCCCCCCTAGGGGGTAATAGTGCCCTGACACTACAGAGGAGATTCATAGATTCTAGGACTGGAAGGGACTTCGAGAGGTCATCGAGTCCAATCCCCTGCCCTCATGGCAGGACCAAATACTGTCTAGACCATCCCTGATAGACATTTATCTAACCTACCCTTAAATATCTCCAGAGATGGATATTCCACAACCTCCCTAGGCAATTTATTCTAGTGTTTAACCACCCTGACAGTTAGGAACTTTTTCCTAATGTCCAACCTAAATCTCCCTTGCTGCAGTTTAAGCCCATTCCTTCTCGTTCTAGCCTTAGCGGTTAAGATGAACAAGTTTTCTCCCTCCTCCTTATGACACCCTTTTAGATACCTGAAAACTGCTATCACGTCCCCTCTCAGTCTTCTCTCTTCCAAACTAAACAAACCCAATTCTTTCAGCCTTCCTTCATAGGTCATGTTCTCAAGACCTTTAATCATTCTTGTTGCTCTTCTCTGGACCCTTTCCAATTTCTCCACATCTTTCTTGAAATGCAGTGCCCAGAACTGGACACAATACTCCAGCTGAGGCCTAACCAGCGCAGAGTAGAGCAGAAGAATGACTTCTCGTGTTTTGCTCACAACATACCTGTTAATACATCCCAGAATCATGTTTGCTTTTTTTGCAACAGCATCACACTGTTGACTCATTTAGCTGCTGGGATGTTCCCCATCAGACATGAGGGTCTCCACATTAGAGTCATTGGTTGCCAGACAACCTGGGCCTTGGGATGGGGCTCCAGCTGGGCAGGGGCTAGTCTTTGTGCTCAGCAGGTTACTCCGGGAGCAGGAGAGGTGGGGGGAGATTTCCCTGGCTAGGGTTTTGGTGCCCGAGGAGTATGAGAGCTGGGGCAGGCTTTAGAGCAGCTTGTTTAGCAGCTGGGAGCCCAGGTGCTTGTCTGTCCCTGAGTGGCTGAGGAGCACGGTGTGCAGCTGGTCCATGCACTTGAGGTAGCCACTGCTGTAGTGCTGCTTCATGGCCAGGCTCTGCTTGGTGCTGGCTGCAAGAGATGGGCGGGGCGGGGGGGTGTCCCGCGGCGGGTGCTGGGAGAGGGCAGCTGGGTGCTGGGGGGAAAGTGGCATGTGGCCTGGGACCCTTGCTGGTGCTGGGGGCAGGGGGTTTGGCAGGGCCAGCAGGCTCCCTACCTGGCTCCACACCTCCCCCCACAGCAGCAGCAGCGTTTGAGTGTGGGAGGGGTCAGAGGGTCAGGGCATGGGATGGGGTGAGGCGGGTTCTGGGTGGTGCTTACCGGGGGGGCTCCCCAGAAGTGGTGACATTCCCCTTGCTCAGCTCCTGGGCAGAGACATGGCCAGGCAGCTCTGCACACTGCCTCCGCCTGTGGGAAACTGCGGCCAATGGGAACTGCGCTGCACCATGATCTGCAGCAGGTCAGCTTTCTGCAGCTTGGACTGCAGCAAGGAGTAGGAAGAGGCACCATTAATGAGTGATGGGGTACAGGGATTTGGGGACTCAGGGTATTAGGAATACAAGGGGCTTGGGGGAAGGATGCAGACACCTATACCCAAGCTGTAAGAGGGTTGCTTCCAGGGGCATTAGAAGTAAGAACATAAGAATGGACACACTGGGTCAGAGATTGGAGATTTAGACACCCAGAGCATAAGGCTGCATCCCTGACCGTCTTGGCTGATAGCCATTGGTGGACCTATCCTCCAGGAATTTAGCTAATTCTTTTTCTAACCCAGTTATGCTTTTGGCCTTCACAACATCTCCTGGCAACATGTTCCACAGGTTAACTGTGTATCATGTGAAGAAGTTCTTCTTTATGTTTGTTTTAAACCTGCTGCCTATTAATTTCAATTGGTGACCCCTAGTTCTTGTGTTATGAGAAGGAGTAAATAATACTTCCTTATTCGCTTTCTCCACACCAGTCACGATTTTATAGACCTCTATCATATTCTCCTGCAGTTGTCATTTTTCTAAGCTGAATGTCTAGGTCTTTTTAGTCTCTCCTCCACTGCTGGGCGTAACTAGGAGTGGAAATTTGTGTGGGCCCCGACTTTCGGGTGGATGTTCAATCACAGACTGTGCTAGGCTGCCACACCAGCTGACTGTGCAGCCTGGCCAGGGCAAACAGCGCTGATCCCCTTAGCTGCACTCTGACTTGGCAGCAGGGAAAGAGGGAGCCTTTGCCTCATTGCAGGGTATGGGCTGCTGTCCTTCAGCTGGGGCTCGCATCTCCTGCGGGCTGTAGGACCCCTGTGTGGGGCCAGCTCTGGCTGTGCTGAGGGGGCATGAACAGGGGCTTGCCTGTGCAAGCAACTTGGCCTCTCAGTGCGACCCCTTCTTATAAATTAAAAACACTTTTTATATATTTAACACCATTATAAATGCTGGAGGCAAAGCGGGTTTGGGGTGGAGGCTGACAGCTTGCGACCCCCCGCCCATGTAAGACCCTTGTGACCCCCTGAGGGGTCCCAACCCTCAGTTTGAGAACCCCTGATTGAGTCTGACCTCCTGGATATTACAGGCTACCAACACCACACAGCACCCACATACTAAACCCAGCAACTGAAATTAAACCAAGTATTGCAGACCATAGGAGACTAGAATATTATGTGCCAGAGGGAGAGATCAGCTTGGCAGTGACCTTAGTTTTTTTGGGGGTTGGGTTGGTTTTTTTTTTTGCCTTTCTCTGCAGCATGTGGGTGTGGTCATGTGCCAGGATTATCTGGGTATATCTCATTTAATCATTTCCCTGCCATTGCAGGCCCCTCACGCATGGCACACCTCGGTCCCTCCTACTCTATGCCTGTGGCACATTAGTATCCTGTGAGCTGTAATACTTTGATCTCATTTTGGTTGTTGGGTTTAGTGTGAGGGTGCTGGGTGGTGAGGTCAGATTAGATGATCTGGTAGTGCCGTCTGGATTTAGACGATGACTCTCTAAACTCTCATCAAGCTGAATTAGATTGGTTTATGTTTTGGAACCTGGTGCCTAGGGCTGTTTCTGCTGCTCTCACAGGATAGTCTCACTAACTTGCACAACAAGGGGTTGCCTCAAGCATAGGCGCTGACTCCTGAGTGCTCCGAGGCTGGAGGACCCGGGGGAAAAATTGGTGGGTGCTCAGCACCCACCGGCAGCTCCGCGCCCCCCCCCCCGCCCAGCTCACCTCCACCTCTGCCTCCTCCCCCTGAGTGTGCCACGTGCCCGCTTTCCCCCCCCCCCAGCTCCCAGCACTTGCACCATGAAACAGCTGTTTCGCGCAGCTGGGAAGGAGGGGGAGGAGGGGGAACACAGCGAGCGCGGGGAAGAGGCGGGGCCGGGCCGGGGATTTGGAGAAGGGGTCCAATAGGGGCAGGGAGGGGGCAGAGTTGGGGCGGGGACTTTGGGGAAGGGGTTGGAATGGGGGCGGGGCAAGGGTGGAGTCGGGGCGGGTCCAAGGGCCGGGGGGCGCAAGCTCCCACAGGCGCCGGGGAAAGTTGGCACCTATGGCCTCAGGCAGTTTGTTATTTCAATATCTGCTGTGAAAAGACACATGCGATAGGAGCAAGTGGCTCTCTCCTAAAGTCATTTGTTTATAAGCTTGCACCACACACCTTGCACAGTCAGCTTCAGGACCCGCCCTTCTTAATGATTTTCTTTAGATTTATTTGGACTGAAATTTCTCTACACTTTTGAAAATTTTGTTTCAATTTCCTGCAAAGACACACAACTGTGCCTAAGACCAGAGTGAGGCTTAAATCTCTGGTGGTGGAGCTTCTGGCCCAGGGAATGGCCCCACAGCATTTGGGGCAGCTTGGAAAGGCTGGGACGAATTTTCCCACTTCCTTGGTCTCTTGGATTCTTCGCCTGGCTTCTTAGATGTATTCCCGTCACACAGAGTCACTTTGTGCAGGAACTCCAGCTCCTTGTGGAGCAGGGCTTTGCCCAACTTTGTCCGAGGAAAAAACAATCGCATGACACTGGAGAGAAAATATTAGTGGAAGAAGTGGGAAGCACATCAGCTCCATTGTGTGTAACACCAGCTATGAGGACAGTGGTTCTATAGCATCTGTCCTTGCACACATGGGGTTCAGTTAAGGCCTGGCTCATTATGGTAGCACCAAGTCCCTACTGCAGGAGGGAGCCTCAGAAATACTTTATAGTCTATAAAGGCCCCACTCAGAATTGCAAGGGGTAGGGTGGGGCGGGGTGCAATGCACTGAGCACTACAGACACACTGAGCAACGTTCCCTAGCTCAGTCTCAAATTCTCATTGCCAGCAGCTCTTTCAGGCAGCTATGTCCCTTAAGAATGGGTTCATCCATTCCACACTGCAGGGGGTGCCCCATGCTGCATCTCTGTGTTCCAGATTCAGCTTCACCCAATAGTCAGGCTGTCCACTAAAGCAGTAATGAGGGAAGGGAACTGGGGAATGTTCTAACTTGCTACCTATTTTTATTTAAAGAATCTAAACAGACCTACATGTACACTGAAACAAAGAGGATGGATGGTGTGACTCCAAAGGTGAATACACACAGCAGCAGCACCAGACGCGAGATGGCAGGGACTGAAATAGATACAGCAGCATTACCAGAAGTGGAGATCAATGCCTGATGGATTTCTGCAACTCTCAATGCATGGAAGACTAGCTTGGGAGACTTGTAAAAGGTAAGGGTGAACAAACTAAGTGGCTTGGGTTTCTGTAGGCTCTACCTAGCCTAGCTGCTGGGACCAGCATGGAAAGGGTAACCTCACAGACAGGAACTTGGAGCTGGAGCTCCCAGCATTGTCTGACGATGTATGACAACTGGGATCCAGACACCAAACGTGAGCAGCGCTCAGAAGCTGCGCTCTCTATGTCACCATATCTTGCAACTCATAGGTTGCTGTATCACTCTAACAGGTGAGCCACAGAGACAGCAGAAACTGTGCTAAGATGCTATCAGCTGGGAATGATTCCTCCTGTCTGAGCTGCACCAGCCTACTTCCTGTTAGGAAGCATGCTTTACTGTCATTACAGAAGCATTACTTGCTGGACTAGGAAAGCCCTCACTACTCACCACAGTCTTCACTGGATGTAGCCCCTTTGTGATAGGTCACCAAGCTCCTTGTGCAGGTCTCACACTCTGTCTTCCCATAATGCTCATTGTAAGAACCCAGGGGGCAAGTGGCACATGTGACTGTATTCAGTGAGCTGTACAGCCCTGGGGAACAAGCAACTGTAAAACCATTAAAAGAAGAGATGCAGTGACATTTGGGGTCAGGGTCAGAGACTCAGATTGAGGATTCCTATCAGGGTTAAAGATTAGAGTGATGGAGCCGGTGCAGGAAAGAGCATCTTATTAATGGATATCCCATGGCTCATCAAGAAAAGAAATGTTTTGTGTGTACAACATTTTCCTACGGCCTCTATATACTTGTAATTAATTTTTACATGGTGTGTTTAAGAATAACTGCATCTTCATCTCCATTTCTAGCCATTAGTATAACAAAAGTGACTCCAGTGTGAAGTCTGTGATAGGAACAATCCCCAGTGCGGATTGTGCCCCACTGATGGGTTTGGGTGGGAAGATTTTTGACAATTGACTTACTGCAACAGTTGGAACACCCGTCTGTAGTGTTAATTTTACCAAACCCTGGCTTACAATGATCCACCTTATAGGCCAGAAGTGACCCAGCTTTGTAGTGCAAAGGAGGCAGATTCCCCTCACGGATCTGAAACTCATTCAGCCCCTCGATGGAGCGATGAATTCTCTCATAGGCCTGTGAGGAGTCAAGAAAACAATTAGCAGTATTCACCAGGTCAATAACATCTATATTTCCCACTTCCCCCTGGCTCCCAGCCCACCATCCACAGAGATTAAAAAAAACAAACAGTATGCTGCCCTGGCAATGAGGGATGAAGAATCTCCCCCAAAGATGGAGGAGGAGATACCATGTAGCCCCAAGACTGGGAGGATCATGGATCCCACGCCCCAGAGAAAACCAAGGATGGTGATGGTTGGTAACTCCCTTCTAATGGGGAAGGAGGCATCCATCTGCCAGCCGGACAGATGTGCTGCCTGCCAGGGGCCCATATCTGAGACATTACAGAAGGATTGCTGAGGATCATGCGGCTCTCTTGCCACTACCCCATGCTGCTCATCCATGTGGGCACTAATGATACTGCGAGGTATGACCCTAAGCAGTTCAAAAGCGACTACAGGGCTCTGAGAGTGATGGTGAAGGAGTTGGGGGCACAGGTGGTGTTCTCATCTATCCTTCCAATCAATGGTAGGGGCCCAGGCAATGACAGACACATCCTAGAGGTGACTGCATGGCTGTGCAGATGGTGTCGACAGGATAGCTTTGGCTTCCTCCACCACGTGATGTTGTTCTGAGAAGAAGGATGCTGAGTAGAGATGGGGTTCTCCTAACAAGAAAGGGGAAGAGTAGCTTTGGATACAAACTGGCTAATCTAGTGAGGAAGACTTTAAACTAGGTTAGATGGGGCAAGAGACAAAAGCCCACAGATAGGTCCAAAACATAAAGACCTGGGTGAAGGGTCAGAATTTGGGAGGAACATGGCCAATCATAGCGGGGCAAAGGAGACAGGAGGGAATATAGAGGGGAAACTGAATTAACATCTTAGATGTCTGTATACTACTGCAAGAAGTAGGAGGAATAAACAGGAAGAACTACAAATACTAGTGAATAATCACAATTATGACATAATTGGCATCACAGAGTCTTGGTGGGATAATTCACACAACTGGAATATTGGTATAGAAGAAGCTTGTTCAGGAAGGGCAGGCAGGGAAAAATGGGAGGTGTTCAGTGTTACCTTGTATATCAAAAATGTATACACTTGCACTGAGGTTGAGATAGAAGCGGAAGCAGACCAGTTGAAAGTCTCTGGATAAGGATAAAAGGGGTTTAAAAAGGGTGATGTCATGGCAGGGGGGTCTAATATACCACCTAACTATGGAGAAGAGATGGATGAGGGTTTTTTTTTGTTTTTGTTTTTTTTTAAAAACAAACAAATCATCCAAAGCACATGATTTGGTGATGATGGGGAACTTCAACTACCCAGAAATCTGTTGGGAAAATAATACAGCAGAGTAATGATTATTCAACAAGTTCTTGGAATGCATTGGAGATAACGTTTTATTGGAGAAGGTGGAGAAAGTGACTAGGGAAGAAGGTGTTCTAGACTTGATTCTAACAAACCATGATGAATTGGCTGTGAATTTGAAGGTGGAAGGAGCTTGAGTGAAAATGACCCTGAAACGATGAGTTCAAGATGCTAAGGAATGGTAGGAGAGAAAACATCAGAGTGAAGACAACGGACTTCAAGAAGGCACGTGTTAGCAAACTCAGGGAATTGGTAGGTAAGATACCATGGGAAGCAAGTCTAGGGGAAAAGGAGTCAGAGGAGTTGGCAGTTTTTTAAAGAGATGTTATTAAAGGCACAAGAGCAAACTATCCCAATGCATCAAAAACACAGGAAGTATGGTAAGAAACCACCTGGCTTAACCAGGACATCTTCAATCATACAATATTAGGGTTGGAAGAGATCTCAGGAGGTCATCTAGTACAATCCCCTGCTCAAAGCAGGACCAACACCCACTAATTCATCCCATCTAGGGCTTTGACAAGCTGGGCCTTAAAAACCTCTAAGGAAGGAGATTCCACCACCTCCCTAGGTAACCCATTTCAGTGCTTCACCACCCTCCTAGTGAAAAAGTGTTTCCTAGTATCCAACCCAGACCTCCCCCACTGCAACTTGAGACCATTACTCCTTGTTCTGTCATCTGCCACCACTGAGAACAGCCTAGCTCCATCCTCTTTGGAACCCCCCTTCAGGTAGTTGAAGGCTGCTATCAGATTCCCCCCTTGCTCTTCTCTTCTGCAGACTAAATAACCCCAGTTCCCTCAGCCTCACCTCGTAAGTCATGTGCCCCAGCCCCCTAATCATTTTTGTTGCTCTCTGCTGGACTCTCTCCAATTTGTCCACATCCCTTTTGTAGTGGGGGGACCAAAACTGGATGCAATACTCCAGGTGTGGCCTCACCAGTGCTGAATATAGGGGAATAATCACTTCCCTCGATCTGCTGGCAATGCTCCTACTAATGCAGCCCAATATGCCATTGGCCTTCTTGGCAACAAGGGCACACTGCTGACTCATATCGTTTCTCATCCACTCTAATCCCCAGGTCCTTTTCTTCAGAACTGCTGCTTAGCCAGTTGGTCCCCAGCTAATGACCTGAAACTCAAAAAAGAGACATACAAAAAGTGGAAACTAGGTCAAATTATGAAGGATTCATATAAAAAAAAATGACAACTCAAGAATATAGAGGCAAAATTAGAAGGACCAAGGCACAAGATGAGATTAAACTAGCTAGGGACATAAAGGGTAACATGAAAACATTTTACAAATGTATTAGAAGTGAGAGGAAGACCAAGGCCCATTACTCAATTAGAAGAAAATAACAGAAATCACAGCAAAGGCCAAAGTGTTAAATGCCTTTTTTGGTTTCAGAGAGACAAGATGGATGAGGTAATATCTTTTATTGAACCAACTTCTGTTGGTGAGAGAGACAAGCTTTTGAGCCACACAGGGCTTCTTCGGGTCTGGGAAAGGTATTCCCAGCATCTCAGCTAAATGCAAGGTGGAACAGATTGTTTAGTATAAGTATTAGAGTGGTGGCCGTGTTAGTCTGTATCAGCAAAAATAACGAGGCGTCCTTGTGGCACCTTAGAGACTAACAAATTTATTTGGGCATAAGCTTTCATGGGTTAGATGCATCTGATGAAGTGGGTTCTAACCCACGAAAGCTTATGCCCAAATAAATTTGTTAGTCTCGAAGGTGCCACAAGGACGCCTCGTTATTTTTGCTGATACAGACTAACACGGCTACCACTCTAATACTTAGTATAAGTAGTTAGCACATATTGTATAAGGGACCATTCAAAGTAGAATGGCCAATTAACATCTCTGCAGTCATAAGACAAAAATTGGGAGCTAGTGGGTTACAGATTGTTGTAATAAACCATAAATCCAGTGTCTCTGTTCAGTCCATGATTTTTAGTGACTAGCAGATTAATGAATTTAAGCTCCCAGGCTCATCTTTTGAAAGTCTTGTGCAGGTTTCTTTGAGGACTGGTAGGTCAGATACAGATTGATTGTTTTGTGAAAAGTGTTCACCTCCAGATAAGGTGGTAGGAACAAAGAATGTAGCGCATACTTACAAGATGGGGACTCAGTGACTCTGAGAAAGATTTGGGGGTCATGGTGGACCATCAGCTGAACATGAGCTTCCAGTGTGACGCTAGGGCCAAAAGAGCTAATGCGATCGTAGGATGTATAAATAGGGGGATTTCGAGTAGCGGAGAAAGGTTATTTTACCTCTGTATCCTGTGTTCAGTTCTGGTGCCCACAATTCGAGAAGGAGGTTGATTGGGGGGAGGGATAGCTCAGTGGTTTGAGCATTGGCCTGCTAAACCCAGGGTTGTGAGTTCAATCCTTGAGGGGGGCCACTTAGGGATCTGGGGCAAAAATCAGTACTTGGTCCTGCTAGTGAAGGCAGGGGGCTGGACTCGATGACCTTTCAAGGTCCCTTCCAGTTCTAGGAGATGGGATATCTCCATTAATTAATTAATTAATTAATTTGAGACAGTTCAGAAAAGAGCCATGAGAATTAATAAAGGATTATATAGCATGCCTTATAGTGATAGGCTTAAAGAGGTCAATCTATTTAGCTTAACAAAGAGAAAGTTAAGAGGTGACTTAATTACAGTCTAAAAGCATTTACACAGGGAACATATTTCACAATGTGCTTTTCAGACTAGCAGAGAAAGATCTAACATGATCCAATGGCTGGAAGTTCACACTAGACAAATTCACATTGGAAATAAGGCAGACACTTTTACAATTGAGGATAATTAACCATTGAAACAATTTACCAAGGGTCATGAAGGAGTCTCCGTTACTGACAATTTTTAGATCAAGATTGGAACATTTTCTACAAGATATGCTCTCGGAATTATTTTAGGGGATTTCTCTGGCCTTTCTTTCCAGAAAGTCAGACTAGATGATCACAATGCCTCCTTCTTGCCTTGGAATCTATGAATGATCAGGAACCTGGGACACTGCCCCAGCTTTCCAGCCATAATGATCTGCAACTCCTCTATGGTGTGTTTAGTCAGTTTTGTAGACAATTTTGCTTTCTGAGCTAGGACTCTGATACTGATTTGGAATCTGGTACCAATTACAGCAGATACATTACCTCTTTAGAGCGATCCTCGATGTCTTGTTCACAGTTTTTGCTCGTACTTTCTGGCGGGCAATGAATTTCCCACATGACTCCATAAGGAAACACTGTGGTGAAATAAAGCAAACATGGTCACTGACAGCTCCTGCACTGTCTCATAGTATTTATCCATCCATCCTTGTATGTTAGCATTTCACAACTGTAAATGGCTACTGATGTCCAGATCATTCCAGACACTGTACACAATCCACAAAGCATAGCTACAAAGAAGTTGCTGTCATTTCTGAGAAGCATCTTTATGCCTCAGGCTTGGCTCTGGGTTCTAGCCTTGATTCCATCCTGGACACTGGGAATTGACTTTTCTCTCAAGACAAGAACAAGACAAATAAACCTGTTACTTGCATCCATATTCAACAGTACTGGGTTTAAGTGGGGAAAAGGTAGCATGCCCCTGTCGGAAAACAATATGCAATGTCTGAATGTACAATTCCCATAGACATTTCTGAGCTTCCTGTAGACAGCTGCAATCCCGAAGACAGCCTTCGCCAGATGCTGTAACCCAGGCTCCAGGCTTCTCCAATAAATGCTAGTTTAGTAAGTTGACGACATAAACTGTTTGGGCCAAACTCTCCTCTCGCTTACCCAGTCATAACTCTCTTGATGTCAGCAGAGTTACATCTGACTTATGCCACTGCAAGAGGAAAGGGGTCCTTGTGTTATTTTGTTACCTGATCAGTTCTGCAGCAGCTTGAAGCCTGGTTTGTAGTCTGGTCTTGGGTTTGCACCACCCTATTCATGTCACTTTTGGTGAGTGGCTTTGGCTGTCTGAAGGAGTCTTGAAAATGCAAACTGTGATTAAATACATGCCCAGAGGCAATGGTGATGAGAAGGGCCAGCAAGGTCATGGGTATAATTTCCTATCTGTAAACACACTAAGGGTTAAGTAACAAGCTCTGCTCTTACTCAGCACAGTCATCCATACTTCAGAGTGGTTCCTTTCTTGCGAGGGCCGGATGCACTTAGTGTATTTTTCAAAGACCTCACAGCTGAGATTCCTCACTAGCCCATTCAGATGCTCCAGAAAGCTGTGGATGTAGATGCTGTTGATTGCTGAGCTGCAGAGAGGAGAGTAAAATGCAGACCGGATCTCCACACTCCTGTCTGGCCTGTGATAAGCTAAAGGGAAAGGACAGTGTTAACTCTATTAAACACTCAATTTGCATACAGTTTTCTAATCCCCATAGTGCTGCACAAGCAGCATCCTCCCCATCTATGTTAGCAACAAGAAGAAAGTCAAAGAAAGTGTGGGCCCCTTACTGAATGAGGGAGGCAACCTAGTGACAGAGGATGTGGAAAAAGCTAATGTACTCAATGCTTTTTTTGCCTCTATCTTCACAAACAAGGTCAGCTCCCAGACTGCTGCACTGGGCAGCACAGTATGGGGAGGAGGTGACCAGCCCTCTGTGAAGAAAGAAGTGGTTCGGGACTGTTTAGAAAAACAGGATGAGCACAAGTCCATGGGGCTGGATACGCTGCATCCGAGGGTGGTAAAGGAGTTGGCGGATATGATTGCACAGTCATTGGCCATTATCTTTGAAAACTCATGGCGATCGGGGGAGGTCCTGGATGACTGGAAAAAGGCTAATGTAGTGCCCATCTTTAAAAAAGGGAAGGAGGAGGATCTGGGGAACTACA